TGGATCACAATTGGGTATTCGGAAGCAGCGTTCGCGGCAGTTTAGCAGTATCTAAGAACGATTCATTGTTACGCACTGACTGGTTCCAGCAAATCAACCTGATACCACGGTGTGTGCTGACAGCATACGCTAAATGCAGCAGCTATCTTTCACTATCTGTCGGGACATTTCACTAAACAATGGGAGCGGAGGGACGGGCAGCTTTGCGCGAAAGTGATACATTGAGCTGGTTGCAAACGCAATGCCTCGGGCACTACGTGTAGCGCATACATTTGGAGTGCCGGGCAAATGCGTAAAAGTGAAGACGAATTACTTTAGAGACAGGCACAACTTTGATTTGCGATAGGCTTACAGGCAGTTCCCCGTCGGCTAAGTTATAATTTAGTTCAATGAGCAATCACAATCAGCCTGTTCTCTTATCACAAACGAGACTACACTGTTGGCGTTAAAGCCATCTCCTTCTCGTTTTGAGGAAAAGATTCTAGTGCGAATGTTTGCCAGTAGTGACCGATTAGTACTGTTTTTCGGGGAATTCACCGATAACAACGACCGTTATCCACGTTTCTCAGAATTCGGCAAGTATGATGAGACAGAAGCATACTCGGTAATCCAGAAGACAATTTGTTTGCAATAAATGCATAAAGCAGTGAAGCACAATGAAAAGTTAGGCTGAATAGAAAGAACGCTTGCGTGTAATAGGCGAAATGTTGGTGGTCGGCGAAAGAGCGCTGAAAAGGGGGCGAGTAGCTTCTGGGCAACGGTACTTCCGCGGAATGCAAATGTCGGATTGAGAAGCGATCATAACTGGTGCATGGAGTTCGAAAGTCGAATACTAATGGTAGCGCACTTCTCACAATCCTGAATGGAAACAGCTCCTTTGATTGTTGCTGCTGCTGTTGTTGTTATTGTTGCTGGTTGCTGCATGCTGCTGGATGTCCGAAGAAATGCCACCAAAAGAAATGAGGTCTTCGCGGCTCGCTGTACGGGTCACCGCCGCCGGCCACCCGCTGTCGTTGTTGCTTCTGGATACATTGGAACTGCAAATCCAGGGAGTGAAATTATCCAAACAATCAATCCCATCAAATCAGCGCAGCGAGAGAACTGGAACGTCGCAAATCCATGTTGTTTTTGCGCCACTGCTTTATTAGCTCGGGTCGAAGAAAAAACGGAATCGACAGTGTTTCAGCTTTGTCGTCTATCTCCAATGTGTTCGATCGCGCAGGTCATGAGTCCACAGTGTTAAAAAATTTGACATGGGTTTCCAACGACTCCAATTATCTATTCCTTATGAATCGTGAATCTTAATATTTCAGCAAGAAGCCAATGCTGAAGTGTTTTGGAATTTGAAAAGCGTTAAGAGATAAGAGGATTTCAATAAAATTTGAATAAAATCCTCTTATCTCTTAACGCTTTTCAAATTCCAAAACAGTTTTTTATGCGTTTTTGCATATGCAAATTGCAAAAACGCATATTGGGAAGAGACTGTCTGTGTGTTCTCACTTTTTGTCGCCCCCTTTCAACTCGAGAACCAGAAAAGCTGGAAGACTGAAACTTTGAGACTATGTACCCACACCAAGCGCGACCCTCCCGTTTTAATATCATCATCTGCGTCGCCTAGGACCACGCATGGATGTTTTAAAAATATGCAAATTTTTTGGCGGGAAATCGATCTCGGGAACCAGACAAGATAAGGGGCTGAAACTTTGTGGGGATATTTCTTGTGCATGTATTAGCTAAAGATTTCAAATTCAGCCCCAGTTGTGCTTGGTTCTTAC